CTCACAACCCTGAGATTGTGACCTGAGCCAAAATCAAGAGTTGGACGCTTAACTGACTGAGCCACCCAAGCTCCCCTATATACCGTATTATCATAATAAAGTAAACTAGAGAAAAGAAAACGTTATTAAGAAAATCATAAGGAAGAGAAAATACATTTACGGTAGTGTACTATATCAAAAAAAAATTGCATATAAGTGGACCTGTGCAGTTCAAACCTGTATTTGTTTAAGAGTCAACTATAATTTTTTTTGTTGTTGTTGAAAAAATGATTTTTGTTTGTTTGTTTGTTTTTTTATTCTTATGTTAATCCCCATACATTACATCATTAGTTCTAGATGAAGTGTTCCATGATTCATTGTTCGTGCACAACACCCAGTGCTCCATGCAGAACGTGCCCTCCTCAACACCCACCACCAGACCAACCCATCCTCCCACCCCCCTCCCCTCCAGAACCCTCAGTTTGAGTCAACTATAATTTTAAGGGAAACAAATGAATTCCACTGTGTCGTATATAGTCCTAATTTCCCCAAGCCTCTTCGACTACCAGGTTGAAATGGGATTACAGGGATTTTAATAACACAGAAATCACTGGCTCGTGTAGCACCTCAACCCCTGAAAATGCCCCTCTTCTACTTTTGTGGGTTCCAGGGGGATGTTTCACTTGGGTGCATGGAGAGATTTGCTTCTCCAGGGGCCGCTAATGGTCGACTATCTCCCCTTTACCTTCTTACTTCCCCCTCCAGCTCTCCTTGACACTGCCAACAGAGCTGTCTTCCAAATGTAAATCTTATCACGTGATTCCCCTGCTTAACACCCATCTGTGGCCGGTACTATTAGTTGCTGTTCCTCAGTCATTCCCAATACTGTTCTTCCTTGTTGGGAGTGCTGGTTTCCTATGGGAGATGCCCAAAGTCCCAGATATTCGCCCTCCTAGATTCCCATGCAGCTGTGGCATAGGAAGATGCCCTAGTCAACTGGACTTGAAGGGAACACTTCTGAAGATTTCTGGGAAATAAGTTCCTCCTTAATATAAAAGACACAAGTGAGAGGAATTCCCTTTTTCTTGCTTTGGGATTTTGTGTGTTGAAGCTGTGCTGCTTGGACCTGGACTCCCATATTGTGTTGGTGGAAGGAAGCTGACCCAGAGCCCTACAGTGATGAGCTCCTGCAGCTTTCTACTGCTGGACTTTTTATTATATGAGAAAATTAAATGTCCTTACAATTAAAGCCACTTTTAGGTGGGTCTTCTTTTGTTACTTACAGGCAAAAGCAACCTAAAACATTGTCCACAGATCCCTACAGGAGAAAATCCAAATTCCTTAGCATGGGTACATCAGGCCTTAGCAAGTTTGCTCTGTATCCTGCTCCAGCATCATTTATTGCTAAACCCACCTTGCATTCCCATTCTGTAGCCATCACTGACTTCAGTGGTATAAGCGAGTCTAAAACTGGAAAAGATAATGACTGGCCCTGTTCCATTTCCCCTGCGGAAAGGGGAAATGAAGCATAGCTTCAACACACAAAATCCCAAATGGCACATGAGTCAGGGGCAGATGGATCAGTTGTAGATGTGAGGGTTGTCTTGCTCTTGAGGAAGCCCCTGAAGAAAAGGCAGTTTTAGGGCCCCCGAGGTGGGAGGAGAGGGAAGGGGGAAGGGCTCAGAGTGGAAAAGTCCCGGGGACTGAGACGGTGGGGAGAGTGTCTTCATGGCTTCCTCCCCTACCCGCACTCACCCTCGAAGGAGGCCTCAGCGGAGATGGGCACCTGAAGAGGGCCACTGCCTGAGCCTGAGACAGAGACAGGAATGCAGGTGCCTCCCAGCGAGGAATGCAGGCGTGCGAAGCGCACGACCAGCGAGGGGGCCCCAGTGCAGTGACTGCACCTCCCTCCAGATGCCATCCGTGGGCTGTGCCCGAAGGCTGCTGAGTGCAGGGCGCCTTCCCCGGGCCCACCAGGCGAAGCCTCTGTAACTGCCTACAGGTCAGGCCTTGAACATCACGCACAGGTTTTTAAACAGGAGCTAGTCTCCTCAATAGTTTTTCTCACCAAAGCGTCCACTTGAAATTCACTCCTATCCATTCCCCTTCTCTTTGTCTCTCTCTGCCCCTTTCCCCCTTCACCTCCTTCCCCCTCACACTTTGCATCCCCTGCAATGCCACTCATCCTTCACAGCTGTATTAGTTACTGATTCATCACAAATTACCCCAAGACTTAGTGGCTACAAACAACAAACATTTATTATCCCAGTTTCTAGGAGTCACAAGTCAAGGTGTGGCTTTGGTAGGTGCCTTTGGTTCAAGTTCTCTCGTAAGGTTGAAAACCACCAGCCAGGGCTGCAGTCTCATTGGACGAGGGGGACCATGTCCAAGCTCACTCACTCGGTCATTGGCGGTGTTCAGTTCCTTGCTGGCTACTGGCAGGAGGACCACCTCAGTTTCTTGCCATGGGAACCTCTCCTGAGGGCATCTTACAACATGGCAACTAGTTTCCTCAGGGCAAGCGAGCAAGTGAGAGAGTGCATGAGAGGGAATATCCAAGATGGAAGGCACAGTCCTTTTATAACCTAATGTCACAAGTGGCATCCCATTACTTCTGCTGTATCCGGTATCCTGTTTGTAAGAACCAAGTCTTATGTCCAGCCCATATTGGGGGTATAATCAAGGGCTTGATTACCGGAGGTGGGGATGTTGGGGGCCTTCTTAAGGGCTGCCTATCACAAAGGTCCAGACAGCATTTTCCCTGTCCCTTAACTGTTCCTTTAGCACACTATAGAGTCTGTTCTCCAAACTATAACCAAGCTTTTGATTTCATTCTGTTCTGGACAGTTGTTTTATTACCCCAAGTGTCTGAAGCTCCTCTTCTTAATGGAATTCCAGCTCCCTTAGGAGCGAAGACAACGAGGTCTGGAGGTCTTGTCCCTCACTTCTCTTAGAGCCCTCACTGTACCCATCCCAGGAAGAGAGCTATGATAAATATTTGTTGATTAGGGTCAACTCTCAACTTAAACTTGTTTAAACTTTTTCCCTTTTAGTCTAGCTTTCTGGGGCTAGGGATTTCTGTGAGAGCCTTTGTATTCAGAGCCTTTTCCTGCTGAGCCAACAGACCTCCTCCCGGATGATAATCCTTGCTGGGAGGGTGAGGCAGGGTTATTGTTTACACTACAGAGCTGTCTTCTAATGCCTTTAACATTGGAATTTAGCTATTGAAAGGAGCAGGAATGGTTTGGAGCCCTTTAGAACAGAGAAAAGATGAAAGGCAAGAGAACTGGCACTTGGTGTTGAGTTTCTCATTTTATCCTCCCAACAAACATGAGGTGGAGTTTATCATCCTCACTTTGCAAATATAGAGTTTGGGACCCCACAATTAACAAGGAGCAGAGCCAGAACCTGAGCCCAGACCCCAGAGTCTTTCCTTCACCCCTGCCTTACGCTTCTAGGTGTGATTTCCGGAGTGATTTACCCTCACATCAGGCTCCTTCCTCCTGGGGCTATTTGCAGTATCACTTTCTGTGATTCCTGTGGTCCATTCCTGAGATGCCCAGTAAACACCTGATGAATGAACTCTTCCTCCTCTGGAGTGGGGGGTGGCCAGGGGCTTCCACACTCACTCCCAAAGGCCAAGCAGAACATTAGACCCACCTAGCCAGTGAACCTGATTCCAGGAGTGGAGTTGTGGAGTGAGGCAGGGAGAAGCTGGGTTGGGTGAAGTATGGCAAAGAGATCTTGTCAGAAGCTCTGACACCACAGGAAGAAGAGGTCACTTGAAATGTAAGCGTATATAAATGTATGGCTTTGCCAAGCAGACTTGTCTGGCCCTTTCAGAGGGGCCTCAGCAGTGGCCTCAATCCCCTGAGTGGGACACTTGGTGGAGGTTAGTGTTTCAGGGGACATTGAGCAGACCCAGAAATGAATGCAGAAAGAATGACGCTAGCAGGCCTCACATGGCTGTGTTTTGAGGGGCCAGCTTGCAAGGTTGGCCTCTGGGAACTTGCCATCCAGGAGGGTTCCCATCAGCCCAACTGATAAGTTGCTCACTATGCCTATACTGTCTGTACAAGCAATGTGGTTTATGTTCAACCACCACTCTCCTTCTGGGAGTCCAGAAGGTGGGGGCATGCTAGGCAGACAGTGCCTACACGACTAGCCCCCAGTGAAAAGCCTGGGCACTGAGTCACTATTGAGCTTCCCTGGTAACATCTCATAGTTAGGATTTGTTGCTGGGGGGATTGAATGTGTCCTGTCTGACTTCACAGAGATAGGACTCTTGAAAGCTCATGCCTGGTTTCCCTGGGCTGATTTTGCTTTGTAGCCTTTCACTGTAATAAATCTTAGCCTTGAGTATGACTAAATACTGAATCATGTGAGTCCTTCTGGCAAAACATGGACCCTGATGTGGTCTTGTAGACACCTGACATACTAGGGCAGGAGGAATGGAGGGCAGGTATGGGGGCAAGAGCTTTCTCTGGCTAAATGTCTATAAATCCTCTTAACTCCACAACTGTCCAAACTTCTCCCTCCTGATCTTCCTCTTTCCCCTCTCAGGGTATCTAATTTTCTTCTTTCCCTCATTGAATAGTCTCACTATTCAAAATAAATGCTTGAGGGTGTCCTCCTGTGATTGAACCTCATCTGAGCTCTGATATGGGAAAATGAGACCAGGGCTTGGTGATATGAAAAATTCTTGAAACTTTAGCTAGTAAGTATGATGTAGTTTTTGAATACAAGAGAGGTTTGGTAGTGTGAGGTCTGGAGCCGACAATCAAGAAGGAATATTTGAGACATCTTTGGTACAAAATGGTTTTATTGAAGCACAGGGATGGGACCTTGGGCAGAAAGAGCTGCTGCCCCGGGGTTGTGAGGGATGACTGATTATATACTTGGGAGTTGGGGGAGGTATGGAAGAGGGAGGTTTCAAAAGGATTTTCATATGTTAAAGAGGACCTACAAGATACTGGAGGCCTTGCCATTTTCAAGTTAAGGTTGTTTTTCCCTCTTACTAGACATGAAGACAGGAGCTTCCTGGAGGAACATTATACTCTGCCTGCCTCAAGTATTTGGGCTGCAAGTTGTAAGGACATTTAATTTTATCTACATTTCCTTCTGGAAGTTAGGTTATTGGTAAGAATGCTTTTTTTCTAATAAATCACTAAGACATTTGTAAACTAAGGGAGACTCTCTTCTTGCAGGACTGTGATCTCTATAAATTAACCATTTGTTCTTCCTTCCCTTCACTTTAGGGCAGCCAGGAGTGCCTGAGGAATGTCACAGATCCCACCTGGGAGTCGGGGGCTGGTGGGTTGTGGGGTGTCAGCTGATGCTTTGTCCTCCACTTGCCTCCTGCTTCCCCATCAAGTACACTGATAATAAAATGCCTAGAGGTTCTCCGCTTAAAATTATTTTCTCTGTTAAAAGATCTGAAATGGTGTTCTTCTCTGAAAATGTAGGTGGGTGTCACCTGGAGGGCTGTCACGGAACAGAAAGAGTGTCATTTGGCATGGACACAGGAGTCAGAGTGCCAGCAACCCCTTAAGGCGGTTGAGCAGATGTGAGGGTTTTCTTCCCCCCAAAATCTGAGAGAGGACAAAGGTGGGAGCAGGGCCAGATCCTGTGGGTAGCAGAAGCCTTTTTTACAACTTTGAATTTCAAGTCAGGTGCAAGGGGAGGGGGAGTCCCTGGACAGTTTTCAACAGAGGACCGAGATCTTGAATATCTTTTCTAGTTCAAAGACTTTATATATGAATTCCTGAATGTCTCAGACCATTTCTGAGGAAGTATAGAGCCATTTTGGAGAAATTGGTTCTGTAATTTTATGTCCTTTTATTGCAATTTCCTGGAGCCATTGAGCCATCATCAGGGATCCTGCTTGGTTTGACACTTATTTCCTTCCCTTCCTCCTTGCTTTTTCTTTAAGAAATAGAGGCCTAGTCTGTGATGAAAACCCAGAGTCCTCATTTTCTTCTCTACATTATTGTCATTCAAATTATTTAATTTAGTGAATGGGCCTATGATTTACATTTAGAAGAAAATTGCCATTTACATTTTTAACCCAAACAGTGGGGTGATAAATCAAAAGGAGCTCATTATACCCATTTCCCAGTGGGGTGGGACTCCTGACCCAGCCACACAACTGGGGAGCTAACTCCCCACCAACTACAGGCGCCTTCCCTGCTCAGACGCAGGCCTTTGCCTGTGGTTAGGCCACATTTGCCCTCTGAGCAGAGGTCTAAAATTCGTTGATCCACCATGCTATTGTGACATACCAACACCATGAAGGCAATTAGAAAATGGTGTAATAAAAATCTTTCGAGAGTTGAAAGCTAAACCCAACATTTGTAATAGAGTCTTTCTGGTATTTCTATAAGAGAGTTTCTGGATGATATTAATGTTTGAATTGGTAGACTGAATAAAGTAGATTGCCCTCCCCAACATGGGCGGGTTTCATCTAATCCGTGGAAGGCCTGAATAGAATAAAGGTTGAGTAAGGAAGAATTCTCTTTATCTGCCTATCTCTGAGCTGGAACATCAGTCTTCTCCTGCCTTGGACTCAGACTAGAGCTTACACCATTGGCTCTCCTGAGTCTCCAGTTTACTGACTCCAGAACTAGGGACTTTTCAATCTCTGTGATCATGTGAGCCAGTTTCTTAGAGTATATCCATCAACCACTCTCTCTTTTTCTCTCTTCCTCTCTCTCCCTCTTTCTCTTTCTCTCTTCGAATAAGATCTCTCTCTCTCTGAGGAAAAACAAAATGTCCTATTGGTTCTATTTCTCTGGAGAACTCAGACTAACACACCCCATTTCATGGAAGTAGAATCTAAAGCACAGAGCCAAGATTAACATGGCTATGGTAAGAGGATCCAAACTGTCTGATTTCAGAGTTCACAGCAGATAGTCCAGCTCACCACATAGTAAAGAAACACAAATAACAATGAGGGTTTGATTCTTTTGCCTCTCAAATTAGCGAATATGAAAGACAGTGGGGGGGGAGGAAGAGCTATATTGACGAAAGATGGGAAAATGGGGACACCTGTGCCGTGTTGGTGGCACTGCCAACTAGTACAATCTTCCCAGAAGGCAGCTTGAGGATCCCACAGTGCAGAGTGTAGAGACCCTGACAACAGCTGGCTCCTCAAATATCACCAATGCAACCTGTTGCTAAGACAAAACTGAGCTTACTGCTTTCCGCCATGGAGGAGACCACCATCTTGAAGATCTTTGGCAATGTCTCAGAAAGGGAAAGGGAAAGCCAGAACTTATTGAGAATGGAAGTTTGGTTTCAGGCTGGTCTTTCCGTGGAGGTTAGGAGGAGGATGACATTTGCTTAGGATTGGGTAAGAATATCCAGAGTTGGTAGAAACAGCAAGGGGAGGATTTTGAGGGGAGGGATTCAAAGAACCTTACGACACCCTCTGTCTATTGATATATATATATATATATCTTAAAGAGTGGATGTGCCTTTGGGAAGTTCCTGTAATGAGCAATCAAACCATTTGCTTATGCAGGACAGTGAAACCAAGTCAGAGCTCTTGATCAACAGGGCCGAGGTGGGGTTTGTTGTTCATTTTGGTAAAAATTATAATGAAGTTAAAGTAGATTTTTAAAGGTTGATGAAAAATAAAGATGTTTCAGGTGGTTAATCTGAATACATCACATGAACTACTGCTTCAAACTTCTTTAAAGGATCACCACAGCACCATTAATTGTAAACAACCCAAGTGTCCAACAGTAGGCAAACAGGCTCAATAGTGTGTAACACATCAGCAATGGGGTTTGGCCATCCGGCCACTAAGGAAATGATCGTAGAGAAACATACAATCTCTACTAGTATGAACCACCTCCCAGCCTACGTGTCTTTTTTTCATCTTGTAGTCGTCCAGGCTGGCACTGCAGGAAAGCGATCTCCAGGATAACTAGAAAGGGGCAGGTTTGCTGTGGATGGGCTTCGTTTCTACAGACAGTTGGTTTAAATGAAGAGAAATGCCAATTTTCCGGGGTGTGGGTGATCTAAAGCCCTAGTGTTGGCAGGCATGGACTCCGACCCCACACAGCTCCTGGGCAGTGAAAGAGTGCTCCCAGCCCCTCCCTGAGCACCTCCTGAGCAGTCTTCCCCGCTCTAGGACCGCTGTCTTAGCTCAGTGTCCCCCGTGTCAGGATTATGTTCCTCTCTCCTCTGGAGTTCCTCTTTTGGTTAGTTAACTTCTACTCAGCATTCTTGAAGCTTACATGCTCTTTGCATCTATCTATTCTCTGTCCTAGTACTTATCATACCACAGTATGGTGTCTCCGCTCCTCCATCTCCCATCACTTTGTGAGCGACTTGAGAACAGGCTCTGTGCTTTGTTCCACATGTCTAGTCCCCGGCATATAGCAGGCATTCAGTGTATTTTGTTAAATAAAGGGATAAAAAAATATCTCTCATTAAATCATTTGAAGAGTTATCTTTTCCTTTTACGAATAGGTCAAAAGACTATTTCTCAAGTGCATTTTGTGTCCGATTTTTCCTTCACCCAGAGGCTATAAAAAAGGGAAATCCTTCTGATAACACCTTCCCAGCTGATCCCCTATAAAAAAAATGATCCAAATGGCCCAGCTATCAGGCTTTCCACTCTTAGGTCCCAAGGTAGCAAGGCTTCTTTGTCTAAAGCACAAGGATGGTGTTTGATATAAGGTATGAAAAGATTTTCCATTAGGTCTGAGATGGGCACAGAGAAGTAGATTTGAGCAGGTGCTCTGGGTCTTCCCTGGTTTCTCTCAGAACCTGGGGTCAGAGAGGAGGCAACAAATATGGGGGGAAGAAAAGTTTCCTGAAGAATCTATACATCTTTAGAGAGAAAAAAAGAGCCCTTAAAGAAAGTTGAAGAACTTTGGAGAAACCAGAAAGTGACAAGAAACCTAGAGAGAGAATGGAAGTCTGATTCCCCTTAGAGGGGTGATTCAGGGAGGAAGTAGGTGCTTGGATCCCCCGTTTTCCTTGCCCTTGGAGGGAATGACCCCTACCTTTGAATGAACTAGGGGTCCAGGGTCCCGGAGGTAGAACAGAGAGAACAGAACAAGGTGCCAACACCACTGGGGGACACAACACAGTGAAAGTGGTTTGGAAAACTCAGTCTTATAAATCTTCCATTGTTGTGTTTGGGGGTTGGATGCATCCTTGTTCCCTCTTCAGTTTCCTTCTTTGGGGAAAAAGTCTCAAAGGAACAGCAGAATGAGTTGTTGGGACTGAGGCTTATCATATACAAAAGAAAAGGGGAATCAGGGTCCCATTTCTCTCTTCCTGATGGTGTCTGTTAGGAGCTGTGCTTATGGAAGAGGCCTTTCTTCCATGCCTGCAGAGAACTGTAGGGCTGACTACTTTATCATTCTCCTGCACCAGCTTTCCCAGCTCTCCTCCTCTCCTCCCTGTCAAAACGGTTTGGTCAGAAGACACTGAGATACTGCTCTCTTTGTCGTCACACGCAGCAGAATTTCTGAAGCTCCAAGAAAATCCTAACCTAGCCAATTTTTAGAAACAGCAGAAAGGATGCATGGAGCATCACTGGGCCCAGCCACATGATTTAAATTAGATAACTCTGAGTTTACGATTTTCAAGAAGTAGGCTTTCATTGGCTTTGGTGTCTGCTTCTCCCTGTACACTGGCATTTTGAGAAAGAGTAAGAAATGAGAGGGCCTATTTCAATGAGGAGAGCATCCAACCTTCAGTGAAAGAAAAATCTGACTACAATGGTTTAAATAAATAGGGATTGTTTTTCTCTCAAAAAGGAAGTCTGGAGCTAGGTCCCTGCTGGTGTTGAGTCAGAGGTTTGATGATGCCAGGACTATGGCCCCGGGATCCTCTTGGCAAGTCCCTCATGGTTGTCACAAGGCTGTTCAGGCCATCTTGTCTTCATTCAAGAAAGGAAGAAGGTGGAAGGAACAAAAAGTTGGTACAATAGTTTCCCCATCCCTTACCTGCAGTTTTGCTTTTGGCATTTCAGTTACCCATGGTCGACCGCAGTCTGGAAGCAGATGTTTCTCCTTCTGATGGATTCTATCATCTCTCAT